TCTTCCTCTCTTTTTCCCCCTAACCTCTCTGAGTGTATGTGTGTATGTTCATAATACATTTTCCACCCTTCTGCGAACTCAGTTTTGTCCTTTTAATTGCGGATTGAAGATGGAATAAAAATAAAGATAATATCATCTTCACTGTCTCTTCCATTAGCGTTTGTTGCTCTAATGCACCATTACAGTTTTCCTTTGTAATTACGTTAAGAGGAAAGCTGGAATAAAACAAAAATATTTTCCAGGACCTCTGGCCGTTTGCAAGGCATGCTTAATTCTGTCCGTCCGGCATTGTTTAAACTTCGAGTAACTATCCTTTATTTTGTTTCTTCCCGTTCTAAATTTATGCAAATTATACCTGACTCCTGAAATTTCACCCGATAGCTGTCGGTTACTGAAAAAAAAACTCGCTTTCACCACCGTAAAGAACACTCTTTATTCCGCACACTTCGCACTCCATGTATTTATACCACATCCCAATCCAATACATATTTTCGCAGCCCGAATCACGATATTACATTTTCTTTGACCTTTCCCTTCAAAAGCCTCACCTTTCCTCACATATACCAGAAAATGTATTCCATACATTCCATACAGAACTGTTATTGGATTGCGACTCCAGCCGTTACTATTTAATAAATCACATATATTTAAGCAAGTGCTAGAAAGCAAGCTCACATGTGCGATGATTAAATAAGTCAGAAGTGAGTTCAAATTATCGAACAAAGGAATTGCGTCTTTCATTTGGTATGCATGGAAGGTCCTTCCAGTATTAAGGGAAACATTGAAGTTAATACAATGGCCTCGTTCCAAATATAAAAGAAAAGAAACTGACACAAGCTGCAGAGCTGAGCTGCTACACAACTTAGATATATATATCCATTTTAAATTCCGCTTTCGTCACTTTAACACACAAAAGTCTCCAGGCTCAACTTCTTGACATTCTCATTCATACAATCGCGGAACACTTAAACCGTGGGGGACGTCGAGATCTCCATAAAATCGTGTGCGAACTCGAAACTGATTTCATAATTACCTCACTTCAAACATATTTTAATTTTATTTCATTTACATATTTTAAATTCCATTTTTTTATAGCATTTTATATATTAAAAGAAAATTGTAATTAATAATTTATGAAAATTATATTAGAATATTTGTACGAAAATAACTTAATTAATTCACGAAACTTCTATTAAACACTTGATAATATATGCAAATATTAAATAATGCACATAACACGAGTATGGATAGATCATAAAATCATAGATATATCAAGGACCAGCTCGAAGATTATCATTATAATTGACAAACTTATTGAAATTATCAAATAGATCAATGATTTTTTCTTAAGAAAAAATTGAGAAATAGTATTTGTTTGTAAGTAACCTAAATATAGTTTTTTCTTTCTTAATAGAATTATCGAGAATTTGGAAGAAAAATTATACAAATTTTATCCTATTAAAATCAAACAAGGATCAAATAAAAAAAACAAACATTGGATAAGTAAAACAAGATTATTAAAAGAATTTGAATACCCATTATATGCCTATTATTACTTCATTAAATAAGATTATAAAAAACAAATATATTGATGACACTTGTATCAATTCATCCGATGCAATCTGGCAGAAAAAAAAAACAAAGACATATCAAGGTAATTGAAATAAACAGCATGTCACATTCCGAATTAGAAAAGCCTGTTCGACGATTACAGCAATCTTCACATATAAAAAATGAGAAATGAGGTATGAATTTGAATATATCAATTAAAGTTAAGAAGAAACCTAGAATTTAATAAGATCATTATTAGTCCAAACAAGAACAAAAGTAAGATGGTACATGAGTATATCAAAGTAAGTAGTTTATAAATCTACTTGATAATATCGAATAAATTGTTTATGTATCTATAACTAAAGAACATTGACATCGGATAATGGCATTCGAGATATTTTAATTGATAAAAAATCTTCAGTACAAATTAATTCAAGAACGAACAAGTTGCCCTGGAATATAGAATAGGACGTTAAAATATTGTAAGATGAATCTACTTAATAACAGCCTAACAACTTAAAGATTATCGATTTCCTTTTACCTTTATTAGAATGTACGTTATATTTCATTTATGTAATTGTTATGTAACTAAGGGACATTGACATCGGGAACTTTATACAACTGTCATTCGAGATATATATTTTAATTTATAAGAAATATTCACTAAGAATTGATTGTATATAGAATTAAACATTTAAATTGGAATAATTACTCTACTTATAAATATCGTTTAAACAATTTCAAATACCTGATCCACCTATAACTTAATTACATAAACAAGTAACAAATAACAACGTCGGATGCTAATTGTTTATGTAATTATAAAAATGTACATTGACGTCGGAAAATATCTATAACATTCAATCGAAACATTTTTTATTTTTTAAATCAGAATACTTATGCTATCAATCAATAGGTGGAATAGAATTTCTAATTACCAATTATCATTAAATTTGACGTAACACATAATAATCAATAAACGAGCAGTGAGATTTTGTAAATTCTTACCCAATCACTTCCATTTCCTCAGCCTTTGGACATCCAGCTGCCAACCATTCACTGGATCCATCACAACACTCACAATAAATGTTCCACACAAAAAGTTAAATTTCGCGCGCGGACCGAATAAAATATGTCTACATTGACATATAAATAATATAATAACTGTTAGTAACTAACATATCATAAGCAACTACTTTTTATCAAATACATTTCATTTGTACGCCTACGTTAACGTATACAGGTACTCCTCACTTTACGACCTAGTTCCGGGGAATAATAGAATAATATAGAAATTATACAACAAACTTCAAGTTTATTCATATTGCAGATCAAATCTCGATTGATCGTAAGTGCAAGTAGTCGTTATGTAGATAGGTGGTAAAGTGAGGTATGTACTTTCAACCACTATTTTTTTATCAAATGTTAATTTCTGAATCTCAGTTCATGTATCCTCAGAATTATCATTTTGCAGCCCAAAGCATACTGTCTTTAGATGATGCAGATGGGCAAATATGAAACATGATGCGTAAGCAGATCTCTAGTCCAGAACGCTAGGATATCAAGGGTGCTCTCTAGCGGATGATCGAGATGGCCAACAAAGAGAGTGGTAGTGGAAATGAACACTGACACATATGACAGTGAACGGAGTAATGTATTAGCGCAAATACAATCAATAATGCAGTGAAATAAATGTACTGACCATGGACGGTGATGAAGAAAACGAGAGGTATTAGTGGATACCCGACATAACCACGATTCCATGTGGTTTTTATGCAATGTTTCCTGTCCTTTACAAAAAAATCTATCCAACAAGAAAATAATAAATATAAATAATATAGGATTTCTATATAAGATGAGCAAAAACTAAATGATTAAATTGTTGCATTTTCTGGTGAGTAAAGTAGTTGAGTAAATAGAAAATGCGAAATAAATTTAGTAGCAGTTGCATTGTATGTAATAAATGCAAAGCGAAATAGGAAATGCAATAAAGAGGAAAGGATCGTCCCGCTTGGCCCTGCGGTTAGGTATTAAAGAACATAAGGCAATAAACCATATTATAAATATTTCGCATAGATTTAATTTATGAGCGCACTCGGTGGAATTATTTTAAGGAAAATTGTATCGCCCATCCTGCATCTGCAAGCGAAATAAATTATATACACTACAACTTAAGCTGCGCAATTGTGAACGGATTATTTGTATGTAATGCATTACTTGTTTATAATGCACATTCACATCTGCACTTTATTTACTTTAACACCGTATGTATTATAGTTTTAATTGTAACTTTAAAATTTCTGATTGCTTCTAATCATTATTAGACTAATAATTGTATATATATTTTATGGTATTACATCCATCAAAACAAAGAAATTAATTAAAATGAAATTATTTTTGAATTCACCTATTCATATAAAATGCATACAACTCGCTGCTTAACTTTATGTTATAATAGACTGCACCTTGCATTATATAATTATAATTTACGGATTTTTTTTAACAAGTATTATTTATTTCACAAACTTCGGTGTAAGCTCTTCATAACCTTTCCGAAGTTGTGCAATGGGACGTCTCAACTCAGGGCTCTCTGGGAGTATATTTCAAGTGCATACATATATTTTACAGCACGATTTCACGTGCGTTATCAATCATTTTCTCTAGATTTATTAGTACTAATAAAATACCTTTCTATATTCTATATTTTAATCTTCATTATTGGATTTTCTTTAAGATAATTTCAAATAATTATTGTCCACATCACTGCACTATAAACATTTATTAATAGACGACAAATTTTTTGTTTACATTAATTACAAAATGTTATCTTTTATTAACTTACGAAGAAAATTCTAAATGCTCTAACTAGTTACAAGGAGATATATATAGTGATAAATAAATTAACTTTCCGAACAAAAATTGAGATTTTCTTTAATAAAATGTAATATTTTTTTGGTGATGTACTGTAGAATTTGTAGCATTTGTTTCTTTGTCGTTTTTTATTGAATAATTGTGATCTACATTGAAAAGTATTTATAAGTAAGTATTTTGTTTAATTTAATCTTTATTTTCCAATTTATGCAGTCAGTAATACAGAATTTAACATATATAAAAGTAAAAACCATGATAAAGTGTGGTAAGATAAGTATATTTTGAAATTATTATAATTTCCCGACTCTTTGGAACGGAACTAGTTCGTAAGTCCGGGGATACCTGTATTATCAGTAGACATTTTTAATGAACTACACATAGTAGGCAACTATATGCACAAGTAAGATTATTAAAAAAATATAATATATTATTAGAATGTACTCAGAATATAAAGCGCTTATTCAGAAATATGTTATATAATAAATTAGTTATTAAAATAAATTTGTTATACATAGATGTTTTCTAATACTTTTACAAATTAATACTAGATGTCTCTTAACAAAAGTCTTATTATTTGACAAGTGAGACGTGTACTTTTCGCATTAATGTCATTGATTGTCAAAGTGTTCTATAAAATATAGAGTAAAAGTTTTTTAAAACATAAGGATTACGCCTAAAGCAAGTATTACAGGTAAAGTTTAAGTAATTTCACCAGGTAATATTGTTAGTTAATTAAATAAGATAATTTGTAACATATTGTATTCAATTTTCTACAAACACTTTGAATAAACAGAACTTTCACTTTATTTATTTATTAATAAATATTTTGTTCCAGGTAGCAAAGTGTCTGAAGTGATTGGGGGATTTAATTAAAACCATCATAGTGCTATCGAGGATGCAATGCCTGCAAGAAGACGCCACACTGGCTCTGAATTAGAGCCTTTTATAGTAATTCCAGATAGAAGGGAATATCAACAGAATGTAACACAAGATTATTATATAGAAGAAGATCATATTGAAGATTATATAGAACCAGAACCAATCATGACCGCCCGTGATAGAACCAACGAATTTGTTAACACCATTCAATCACTGCAAGGCAGGAACATTGCCAGAGCAGTTGCAATCAGAGATCCCCGAAAATCAAAGGTTATACAGAGTCACTCTGAGTTTATGCTCATTGCTCGCAATGTGGGAAAAAATATTGCAAGTACATTTTCCAAACTGGAGAAGCTTACTTTATGTATGTATTATTATTTTGATTGTTTATTTATGTTGTCTATAAAATAAGTTTTATTTTAGTGGCAAAAAGAAAGTCCTTATTTGATGATAGATCAATGGAAATTCAAGAGCTAACATATATCATTAAAGGTGATTTAAGTAGCTTAAATCATCAAATTGCACAACTGCAAGAGTTATCCAAGAGGCAAAGGCAAAGTGCTTCTGGAAAGCATTTACAGTCGCATTCCAGTTGTGTAGTGTTAGCGTTGCAATCCAAACTTGCAACAATGTCTACTGATTTTAAACAAATTTTGGAAGTTAGGACAGAAAATTTGAAGCATCAGAAGAATAGACGCGATCAATTTTCACACGGGAATGTTAACAGTAGTTTACCTCCTTCTGTGGTAGGAAACAATCAAGGAAGTGTTTTAATGCAAGAGCAAGATCAGGTGAGCATCAATCTGGAAAGTACAGCATTGGTGCCCCAAAGGACTCAAATGCAAGCAGCCTTGATGTACGATGAAACGGATAATTATTTGCAAAATCGAGCTGAAACTATGCAAAATATAGAGTCGACAATTGTTGAATTGGGTGGAATATTCCAACAGTTAGCCCATATGGTAAAAGAACAGGAAGAAATGGTCGACAGAATAGACACGAACGTCCAAGACGCCGAACTCAATATCGAGGCAGCCCATGCCCAGATTTTAAAATACTTTCAATCGGTCACCTCGAATCGTTGGCTAATGATTAAAATATTCGCAGTTTTAATATTTTTCTTTATATTCTTTGTAGTTTTTATGGCTTAACAACTACACACCTGTAGGTTAATGTATAATAAAATTTATATCTTTCTATTTACATTGTTATACAACTGAAAGAATATTTGATTGGATTAAAATTGTTTATGACAGCAAACGATTTTGTATATTATTATCACGTGACTTTTGGATAAACAAATACATTTATGATGACTAAATGAACTTTAGTCACAAGGCCATTAGTAATAGACTTTAATGTTTTAATAATTATCACAATGAAATCATTTAAAAAATAAACAACAAATTTATTGAATATGAATGATACACAAATAATACAGCAAGTAGAATAAAATCAGCAATTTTCAACAACCAAATAAAAATGCACTTATTTAGTTACAAATTACTGACATACAACGATAATAAATCATAGAAGACATTTTTTTAACTTATTTATATAATCTATAAATGATTAATGTTTCTGTTTAGAAACGTCATCATCGCTACTACTTGAACTGCTCGTGCTTGTTTGACTCTTGTTACTCTTCGCTGGAATTGTATGGTTGAAAGGCTTATTTAATTTTTCGTAAGACTCCTTGACTCTTAAAATAGCCGTTCTGTTGATGTTATCTAATGGTACTGTTTTTATGGCTTCTTCAAAATTCTCGATGACTTCTTCGTGTTTCTCCTTATTGACTAATACATCTAATAAACAACTATACGCATTTCCTAGAGCTCCTTCCGTCACTTTACTTGTTTTTAAATGTTCGATTAATTTAGCAGTGAGATTTTCATCATTGGTTCCTCTCGCATGCTGCACAACCCTTTGGAACATTATTCTTGGAGCTCCTTGCATGTGGGTATTCCAAACTTCAGTTGCCTTTGCTTCATTATTATTAATAAAGTAGTGAGACCACAAAACGTTGACTGGGGCAATGATGCCTCGTTTGGCATATTTAATAGCTACATTCTCATCTGAAAAAACAAACAAACCATTTAAAAATGTATATCATTTATATCATAAATAACTTACATTTCTCCAACAACTCTGGATGTCTTTCTAATATACCAACTGCTCCACCTCTTGGGAATTTTTCACCAATCACAGTCAAGTCTGACTCATTGGCATTATCAATTTCAGTCTCTAATTTAAGCAAATAATCTTCTGCTTTTCCTGCTACCAGATTTGCGTGGCAAATCCTATTATCGAAAGATACTATTTTTTTAGTTTCACAATCGAGATGTTTTCCAATACGTTCAATGGCTTGGAAGTCTCCACTATTTGCAAGTTTGTTTAATAGAAATCTAAAAACTCTTGTAATTGGTACTTGTTGTTTAGTTAACATTTCCTCAGTTAATTTGGTCGCTTCCAATTGTCTGTCGTTTTGCACTAACTTTTCAATCAACAAAGATATATCAGTAACTGTGAAGTTTTCATTCGAGTTTTTCTTAATTTCCATCGCTTTGTCTACATCAGCAGATTTCAGAACTTGTCTAAACACCGTTAAATCTTTTTTCGGTGTGGCCGCCGGTACTTGTACTGGTTGAGGTGTCTTAATCAATTTTGTCTGCTTTTTAGGTTGCTCTGGTATAAGAAAAGGTACTTCCACATTATTATTCTTCAAGAATTTTCCTAATGTTATCAAAAACTGGTCGCTAGCACTTATATCTTCTTCTTGCATTTGAGTCCAGAGAGAAATAGCTTTGTCAGTATCTACTTGTTTGATGTAACTTAACAATAATTGATAATAAATATCAGTGCGATCGATGTGGTTCAAATCCTTAGTTGCATCTCTTAATCCTTCCAAAGGCTTGACCAGACCTAAAATACAACATTTATTACATGCTCAACAATGAATGAATAATACATACCTTCTTGTTGATATCTCTGACAAGCCAAATTAATCCTCTGTGGTCTGTTCTGCAATCCCGGAGTTTCCAAAATTTTTCTCGCTTGCCTAATTCTTCCGCATTCAACGAAAGCAAATACAAGATCGTACAAACTGTTGATTTCACCATGAACTGATGTACTCAAATCTGTCAATTTCTGTAAATTTTCAGCATCCTCATTTTGGATCAATTTACAAGCCAAATCATTTTTCCATGGAGTAGCCTTAAATTGCTTACAGCACCATTCGAATTTGTCAAGGGCTGCATTCAGGTCATTGTTAACTAGATGTACTTTGATCAATGGTCCTAAAGTTACATTACTAATATCCAACAAATCATTTTGAGTCATAGCATCAAATACTTGTTGCAATTCCTGGGTCTTTCCTTGTTCAGCCAAATAATTCAATAATCTCCAACAAAGTGAATTATAATTGTAACTTCTTTCTTCAGTTTTACGTTCACGTGGACGTTTCAAAAATTCGAGCGCTGTGTCCATTTCATTATTTTTAACGAATACCGTCACCAACCTAATCAATTTAGATTCGTCAATTTCAAATTGTGAATCGTTTTCCTGAATTTTAGCCAAGTAGTGCTTCATTTCATCAAACTTTTCGTGATAGGCACATGTGTCCATTAATTGAGCATACACACCTGTTGTATACTTGAAGTCTGGATCTTGTTCAAAGGATTTGTACAAAGCCTGCATTTTTTCCAATTCCTTCTGTCTGTAATATAAGGAAAGTAGCTGCCTTTTGTAACCTTTAGTGTCTTGTTTCTTAGCTTCCAAGTTTTGAACGAGTCGTTCCAATTGAGGAATATTCATTTGATGTGATGGTGTGTAAGATGGATATTTACGTTCAAATGGTTTCAACGTCAGTTCACCTGATGATAAGGAGCCAAGCATCTTGGACATTTCAGGAGTCATTTTCTCGCCCAATTTCTCTTCCAATTTTTGAGCTGTCACTGTACTAATAGTTAAACCTTCATTTACCATTGATTTAAAAACTTGTTCAGCTATACTCGAGAATTGCCTTGAATGCGTTGCAAGATCAAATAGAAGTATACCAACTACTTCAATTTTATCCACAGAACCCTCAATTTCTAATTCAGCCTTCTTATCCATATTTTCAAAAACTTGCCTAACGATGGAGACATAGGCATCTACATTTCCAGTCTTGTAAAATGCAGCAGTCAATGGTTTCTTTATCATATCTGGATTGTAGTACGCTTCGACAGTTTGAGTGATAATGGACGCTTCAACTATATCGAATTTATGTAGGAGAGACAACACTAAGCTGGAAGCTGCAGATCCAATTGAAATGTTGGCAATTCGCAGTTTTGAAATAATATCGCTGCTCTTTCCTTGCAGATTTGGAATAACGTATTCGCGAATGGTTTCGTTATTTGGTTGTATGCCGAAGGAGATCATTTCGTTTAAAACATTCAAAATACCTTCACCTGAACGATCTCCAGATTTAGCAATGATCAAAGGCCAGAAGTAATGCTGTCGTATTGGAAGACCTTTAGATTTCATTTGATGGAACAATTTAACAGTTAATTCATCATTACCCTGTTGCAGAGCGCATTCGGTAGCATGAGTAAGTCCACGATCGTATAACCCATCTTTCTCCAATTTATCAACGACTTCAATGATCTCTTCGAAACTCGCTCCTGTCTTTACCATTTGCTTAATAAAGAATGCTCCAATTGGTTGTACACTGCCGTCCGCTTTGTTAAGTCTTGGAATCGACTGTTGAATTAGATACGCAGTTTCGATAAGTCCTTTGTTGATTAATCTTAATATAACGTTGATTGCGTCTTGAGAATATCCAAAAGCTTTACGAGTCTTACTGAGGACTTCTGGAACATGTTGTTCGTGGCCGTTAGTTGATAGTGTATAGATGATATCAAGGAAATCCTTATCCAAAAGATATATTTCTTTTGTTTCACATTCAGCGTAAAGTTCGTTTATTGTGTTCATATCCCCGACTTTAGCAAATCCGCATAGTAAGGTTGTGTATGTATCAGCTGATGGTTCGAGTCCAGCTTGGGACATGACTGTTATAATCCCGCGCGCCGATTCCATGTCTCCAGTTTGTGAGTGACCATTAATGAGAGCATTGAACACATTTTCGTTCACAGGTAACTGCTTCTCCCTCATAAATTCCAAAATTCTAGTTGCTCCTTCAATATCCCCAATATTGCAATATTGGGAGATCAATCTTTGGTAAGTGACTCGGTTTGGTTCGATTCCCTTGGACTCCAATTCAGCAAGGAAATCGGTCGGTGAGAAATTGTATTCATTTTCCAAGTATACTCTCAGCAAAGCATTGTAGTGGGAAATATCCATCGGGACATTCAGTTTCTTGAGCGTGTTCCAAATTTCCTGAACCAGTTTGGTTCTGGTTTCGGGTAATTCTTCGGGAACCAAGTTACCGCAGCATCTGATGACCAACAGCGACTGGGAACTTGTTGCGGAACGTGCATTTCGTATTTCCTCCAAGACATCCTCGATGTCCCTGCGAGATATTCGGCCCGACCTACGCACATCCTGGTCGAGCCGTCGTAGACAACTGTCGAGATTTTGTTCGTGTTGTGCGGAAACTTGTGTTGCAAACGATCTGAAACACAGACAATAACAAGGATTGATACGAAATCGAAATTTCAACTCAAGCTTTCGTTTCATGAGCAAAAGCAAGTACATCGCTAATCAATTTGTTTTTATACTAATCGAGAGGAGCTGCTTTTACTTATATATATGTAAATTGTGTTATAAATGACCTAAAACACACAATACCAATGACTGATACTAAATCAAAATTTTAACTCAAGCTTTCACTTTGTGAGCAAAAGCAAGTACATCACTGCAGGTTGAGAGAAATTGCTTTTACTTATATATAGATGAGTATATTTTGCTAAATGAATTGTGTCACATTTTAAATGAAAGGTCAAATCGAGTTCAGCGAAATTAAAAATATAAAGAACAAACGCAATTTACTCACTGATAAGAAGACATATATAACGAGCAAATAAGTGATTACATTTAGTATATTTCATTCAACCAAGTAGAAAACAACTTACAGTAAAAAACAACTTAAAAAAAAATTAATGACATGTTCAAATTATGATAAAACATTTTAGTTGAGGAAAATATAAAATAATCTATATAAATAATAATGCAAGACAAAACAATAACAATTTATATTCAAATTAAAAACATTAAAAATGGACTATTGATCTCTATGTATATTCTAGTATAAGTCAAATAATCAAAAGAAAAATTTGTGAAATGAATGATTTAATATTATATTTTCTGACAATTTTAATACAATAAATAAAACAATTAATTTCAATATTACTGTTATTAAAATATAACATATATTTGCATTCTTGTATAATTAGCATCCTTCTAATACCCAATTTAGATTGACATTTTAATATTAATTAATTAATTAAAGAAATATTTCTAATGTGCATTTACTTATAAAAGTTACATATTATCTTATTTAATTGTATCAGGTTCTTAAAAACTTAGTTGCATTCCATAAAACAGTAGGCTAGGAAAGTTCAATGGAAATTGTATTGATTAGCAACGAGAATATTCTAGAATTTACTTATAACGCTTTTTCTTTCATTCGCTATTTGGGAATATCAGAGAAGACAATAAGTGTAACTATAAAAGAAGCTGAAGTAATAAGCGGGATTTTATGAGTTTAATGTTATTGCATAATCTTATCACACCCTGGCCGGTGTGTTTGACGGGGTTTAGGTTATGTAGTTTCGAGAGGGGTTGAACTTACCTAGGTAAGGCACCGCACAGGCATTGTGATGTGTTTATGAAGTTTCCGTCAAACTCGCGGGGTGTGTTTGCAACGATATTCCTTGCAAATCCAGCAATATATCTAACAAATTTCGAAGATCTTAGTATCGAGGCCATGCTTCTGCCTGCTAGTAACTTGTTATTATATTTATCACCATGTGCGCGCACGTAGTTGGCAACTCTTCAAGCGCCAAATTCAAATATGGCTACCACAGCTATTTATGATTGCATAACATTGCATACCGGTTACAGTGTACATAAATAAATTATTTTAAATATTTATTAGGATATTTCATATGGATTACCGATTTCTATATTTAAAGTAATAATTTAACCACAAACGGCCATATTTACTATTAATTTACTTATTTTTAAATCTACAACAAAATTCTGATAAAAACATTAAAATAATAATATGTTTCTCGTAATGATCTCCTTTACTCCAAAACCAAAATAGTCCCTCTCATCGACCGATACCTTTCCCTCTCCTTGAAAACCAAACTGTCCAACATCGCCTCCCTCTCTAAATTCTATGCCCCTCGAAACCCAAATATCTTTCCCAAATTTAAATATCCCCACATTATCCTTATTCCAATACCTAATGTCCCTCGATTGATACCCTCTTGTTCCTACTTTTTTCCCTCATTCTTGTATACTTCATATGTATATATTGTTATTGTTCTATAATTAATTTATGTTCCCAGGCGGAAAGACCTCGGTTGATAGCCCTTTGGCCAGCCTATTAATATTTTTGTTAAATTTATGTTAGAATTTATTTATTTTGAGAGTTGTATTATTATTTGTTTTTTTTTTGTTATTATTTATTTATACTTTTTTTTGTATTGATGTCTGGCCAATAAATTATTATTATTATTATAATATGTATTGACTATTAGAGGTATAATTTGAGAGTAACATAAATTAATTGAAAAATATAGCCATGTACAGTTTACTTGAATAAATTGGAAATATTACAAAATAGTTTCTTATTAATGGAACGATCATGAGATTATGATTATTATATTGAATACACGGCTAAGGAATACAAGAAATCATTTTATTCGTTTTCTATCGTTTAGAAACTCCCGTATCCACATGTAACCATTTCTATAATTCATTTGAAAATGTGCTTAATCATAAGCTCAACTCCTGAATTGGTTGGTGTTTATTTATGTGTTTTCTCCACGCTACGGCCGTGTTATTTTTTTTTTCGTTCACTCTATTCCAGTGATTTATTCTGAAGCTTCCCAAAAGGCATTAGCATCTAAATTTGATGGGAAAACATTTCATCGCGTTACCTTTTATTGAAACGGTTCTATTACAAAAGATTTTAAATTTATTTGTTTTTTTTTGGTCATTACTATAATAAACTAATTTTTACCAATACTTTTACTATAACAAACAACAATAGGCTAGTGTATTCATGTCCGGGTTAAAATTTAACTATATCTATATCTATTTATAGATTTCGGAAGACCTTTGCCTTATGCATCAAATAATTAGTTCTCTTCATATAGTATAATATTTAAATGAAGTATGTTGAAGATGATTAAACAAGGTTACATTTTGTTGTCAGCAAATTTCTTAGATAATGATTTGTAAATCAATAATGTAATGATTTGTTAACTTACAGTTAACGTGAAAAGTACATTCAATAGATTTCTTGTGTATTTTTGTTTTTATTTGATTAATATCTTAGATTTATTAAAATTATTATTATGTAATGAATTATTGATATACCTTCACAGCGTTTTCGGAAAATTCGCTATATCCAAAATTTGTTACAAGAGGTAACGTTAATAACGCATATTTCTACTAATGGTAATTATTAGTCTTAAACTCAAGTATCGATTTTGTGAAAGCAAAAGGCAACAACTCTAGGAATAAAAAAAATGCCCGCATTCTGTAGCATTATGATTTAGAAGATTTGTTTATTATTATTAATAGGTGTACTTAACATGTAAGTATACAGGTATCCCCCGACTTACGAACTAGTTCCGTTCCAAAGGATTGTTCGTAAGTCGGGGAAATTTTAATAATTTCAAAATATTCTTATTTTACCATACTTTATCATGAATTTAATTCATAATTTAATAGATTAAAATAAGCAAAATGTTTACTTACAAATACTTTTCAATGTAGACATCACAATTATTTAAGAAAAAACGACAAAAGAAACAAAAGCAACAAAACAGATTCCAAAAATATTATATTAAAAAAATTATCAATTTTTGTTACATTTTTATCACTATATATCTCCTTGTAACAAGTTAGAGCTTTTAGAATTTTGTTCGTAAATCCGGGAGCTCGTAAGTATAAGTACTTTATTTGTCTATAAAAGTGAAAGTGAAAGATGAACTCAGAAACATTTAATATGTGAACTCAGTAATTATGTATTTCCTCTCTGAAATGTGCGTACTTATGCACGCAAAACAGCGTTCAATTAGGTAAGCGTGGCGTGTTTTCTCCGAATCTTCTGTAAAATTGTTCATAAACAAATCAGACGTTAGTAATTTATCAACAATTACATACGCATCTCGATGAGCGAGAGAGAAGGTCGAGTGATGGAATATCGAAACGGAAAAGAAACGAGTTTCGCTCAAAGCGAATTCCGTGAATGTCCGTTGACTTAATATCGCGTATGTAATTTCGGTCCAGGTCGAAATAATTAATAATTCCTGAAGCATTAAGACAAATTGTATTCCGTATGGCTTAAATAACAAACGGCGTTTGGATATTCTTTTTATGCCTCGTGATTATCAGAATGATGAATTACATGCACTAAGTGTTATATATCTAGAAAGTATTATTTTCAGACAACGAATTATTCAGAATATTTATATAAATTGAATATCAAATATCACATGATGTATGTAGTAAGCTTGTGGAATTTAAGATATTCATTTTTATTTTATTTATAACGATAATTATTTGCACTTTTTATTAATAATTATGTAAATAATTTATTTCTTTAATATATCACTGTTTTAAATTGTTAAATTTAGCAATATTTCATGTTCTTAAATATTTTTATTAATAATGTATATAACCATATTTTTATAAATAATGTATGTGACCAACATAAACTCAAAATTTAAATATATAATAACATTTTTTATCTAATTGTTTGAAGTATAGAATATTTTACTTCAATTTTAATGACTATATGATTCTGGAAAATTGTTCTACACAAAAGATTCCATGATTTTCAAAAATAAAACTGAACTTCCTCCATATTTATATGTTGAATGTTGAGGTTGATATATAAAGTGGAAGATTTACATGAAAATTCAAATATAAAAGAAGAAGTTGTCGAATTTTCTTGTTATTTTTTTGTGAAAACTCCTTTGAATTCTTCCTTAAAGCAGCAAATTATATATTAATAATAAACTAACTTTAGATGAAAAAATCTTAGGTATGTGATAAAATACAAATATGTTCATTAATTTTGCAATTATTATAAAATAATTACAGACCAAAAGGTGTAAAATAAAAAAGCATATATGAATTAATTTAAAAATAATATTTTGCCCAGTTTGAAAATGCACGATTAAATAATAATAATGTGAGAACAGTTATAAATTTCAGAAACAACGTTCTGAAATAAAGATATACTTACGTAACCGAATAAATTTAAAATAAGTAAAACATTATCAGTAATTTCATGATGATTTCGATAAATTTTCAGCTGCGGTTACATTTAACCATCGTTTAAATATATCATCATGCTGACGATAATACTATGATAGTAAATTATTATTAAGGTTTGTATTTACCATATTTGCAACACGCACATACCAAATACCGAGTTCCAACAAAACCCCGATAACCCAGTAATTTAATAATTGTATGCAATCAATAAATATATGTTATTACAATAAAAAAAAAGAAGCTCTCGATAAACTTGCAGGACTATCATCGTTACATTTGCGGTCACGTATACATATATATATATATAAAAAGGCACCCGATAATTTTCCATTGTGGCTGTTGAAAAAGGAGAAAACAGAGCCGAGCCGAGGAAATTTATTATATTCATTTAAGAGGCAAGTGGGAAGGAATCCTCGCTCTTCCTTTTTGCACAGTCCTCCGATAATAAAAACATTTTTGTTTCGATAAATGCCCGACGCAGAACCGCCGAGACCATCGCAATAATCGTCTATCGGAATTCCTAATATAAATTCTTCGCTCATTAAAGTGAATTAATTAATTAAAATCGTTAGCGAACGGCCGGTAAATCACGCCGCAGTAATAATGCTCCAACGTCGCAGATTCTCTTTTTTCTCTTCTTATTTTCTCTTGTATTATTTGTTATAGCATTTTTTCTTTTCTCTTTGCCTCCCGGTGTTGAGAGGGACTCTTTTGTGTTGCGCCTGGTTCGAGGTGGTGCAAAAAGAAGAGCAAGACAAAAGGTGAGAAGCATCGGATAAAAGGGTGAATGAGATTTTCTAATGAACGTAATTTATATTTAAGCATTTATAATTTTGAAAAGAAGGGAACGGGTAAAAAATGGTCTGAGAGGGAAGCGAAAAGGTCAGCAATGGAGGAGAACTTGTGATGTAGGGAGTTGGTTCAAGGAGGTGCTTCAATGATGAATTCTTCGTTTCCTCTAAAGCAAACAAAACTCGAGAAGTCAGAGTGACTGGCTTTCGTTAAATAAAGAACAGGAAGAATAATACTTATTTTGGTTTTCATTTAACTGATTTCTTCAATTTTATACCAACGTACAAAAATAACAGAGATCTATACGAATTTTGAAAATGTTTCATTCTAAATATAATAATATACAAATAGTACAAAAATACTAAATATCTAAAATAGTACATGTCACTTTCACCTTAATATACTCATATATTATACAATAGAGTTATTTAACATTTCAAAGATACAAATGTATAGCTTTTTTTAATTTTAAGTAGGTTACTAATTATTAATTATTTGTTGCAGTTGCAATGGACAATGTTTAACTACTCTATTAATTTTTTATTTGTTTTTCTGATAACAAATTAAATTCAACAATAGTTTATTTGATTAATATTTTGCACATCCTTACCAAAGTTTTTCAAAATTATAAAAATCCGCATGCGACTCTTTTATTACTGGTGCAACAACATAAGATTTTTAGGATTTGATAAATAAGGGCGAATGGT